GGGAATAATGGAAAATAAGATTCAAAAGACCCTCTTAAATTTCTGACAAAAGGGTTTTGACTTGTCTTGTGGACAATAGAGAACCATGAAAGAATTTTGAGTAAGAGAGTGAAACTCTGAAAGCAGTGTGTGGGCAGATGAATCCGTCAATATGCATGGTGGAGGATGCCTTTCGATGGGAAGAGACTAGAGATAAGGAAGACTAGTTAGGAGCCTATGACAGTCAGGGATAAGGTGACAAAAGCCAGTATTAGAATGGGAGTGCTGAGACTAAAAAGAAGGCCAATTGTAATTGGCAAGATGAAAAAAGAAATGTCAGAACCTGTGAAATAGGGAGAGACAAGAGTTGAACTTGCCTGAGAGTTTTCAAGCCTAGCTGACTTGAAGAAAGAAGATGCCATGAACAGAAATTAGCAAGACAGGTAGGGAAACTGGTTCAGGGAGTTTCGCTTTTGACATGTTGGGGTGGAAGTAACAATGGAAGGTTCAAGTGAAACTGTCTAGTAGGCAATTGAAGATGAGGAGGTGGAGGTTGGGAGGAGGGAAGGCCTAGAACTGAGTTGGCCTGGTGTAATGGTATGTAATGGAGCCCTGGGAGTCAGGAGACCTGGGACTTCGCCTCTTCCCTGCCACTAACTTACTAAGTCATGGGCAAGCCACCTCTCTGGGCCTGTTTCCTCCACTGTAAAGTGAGAGGGTGTGCAGGCCCTATATGATCTCTGAGGTACTCTCAAGGACTATGAGTCACCCGCATGTATGTTCTCTCCAAGACAAAATCAACAGTCTGATGAACAAAGGGCATTAAATAATCCCCAAATGCTATGACTCTGACCAATCTCACGAATGCTATTTACTTAAGGAGCAAAAGAGAAGTCAGCAAGGGAGATAGAGAGAAAGTAATCAGAGAGGTAAAAGCACGAACAGAGAAATTCTAAAGTGATAGGATAAAATAAGGAACTAAAATGAAAAGCATCACAATAAATGAGATAAATATTTACATCAAATAGTGACAAAGGTATTACATGAATATTAAATAAAGAATACATACATACATATATATGAATACTACTAGGATGCCAACTGAAGAAAGAGTCAAAGAGTAAACATATGGGAAAGAGTTCAGTCCCAGGAGTAATCAAAGAAATGCAAAAAATATTAAAATAATTTTTAATCATCTAAAGAGATTTCCTCTAAAGTTCAATGCTAGCGCTGCAAGGGAATTAGAACATTCATATGTCATTGTGGTGCTGAAAATTTTTGCAGTCCTTTTGGCAATCACGATCCATAAAAATGCTCATGCTCTTTGGTCTGGTAATCCCGCTCCTGGGAACTTGTCCTAAAGACAGAATTACAAAGAAGAAAATAGCCATACACATTAAGATGTTCAAAGCACATAAAAATTGAAATATATCTAAATATTCAATAATAAGAGAAGAGTCAAATAAAATATAATCTACTGACAGGTGTAATTTTGTGGGGCAACTGAAATAATAGATATGAAAGACTACAGCAACCAGGGAGAATATTTACAATAAAAGGTTTGTAGGCCAGGTGCAGTGGCTCACGCCTGTAATCCCAGTACTTTGGGAGACTGAGGTGGGCAGATCCCTTGAGTTCAGAAGTCCAAGACCAGCCTGGCCAAGATGGTGCATCCCCATCTCTACTAAAAATACAAAAATTAGCTGGGTATGGTGGTGAGTGCCTGTAATCCCAGCTACTCCAGAGGCTGAGGCAGAAGAATGGCTTGAACCCGGGAGGTGAAGGTTGCAGCGAGCTAAGGATTGTGCCACCACACTCCAGCCTGGGTGACAGAGCAAGACACCAACACACACACACACACACACACACACACACACACACGAAGATTTCTAAAAACAGAATTGTAAAACATATGTATGCTCTGATTACACTCATATAAATATGTATATGTACCCAAACTGACAAAGCATGGAACACGGCAACATGAAAACAATTTAAAGAGAATAGTGCAACAGTGTCAACCGAAATCGAGAGGTCAAAGAGGATGAAGGTAGAGACAAGATTGTTAAAGGTCTTGCTTAAGAGATAATTTGTGTTCTTCTGAGTCCAGCAAAGTATAGGAAGGAAAGCAGATGCAGATAGTTAGAGTGATTTTGTGGTGAGGAAACTGGATTTACAGCATTTTTTTAGAGATTTGGCATTTTTTTTTTTTTGAGACGGAGTTTCACTCTTGTTAACCGAAGAGCTTTCCTTCCTATACTTTGCTGGACTCAGAAGAACACAAATTATCTCTTAAGCAAGACCTTTAACAATCTTGTCTCTACCTTCATCCTCTTTGACCTCTCGATTTCGGTTGAAATGAATAAGGATGAATAACATGGTAGTTAGGCTATGGTCTAAAGACAGCAAAAAGACCAGGGAAAAAGACAGCAGGGTTGACCAGGTGTGGTGGCTCACACCTGTAATCCCAGCACTTTGAGAGGCCAAGGCGGAGGGGGGGCCATATCACCTGAGGTCAGGAGTTTGAGACCAGCCTGGGCAATGTGGTGAAACCCTGTCTCTACTAAAAATACAAAAATTAGCCTGGCATGGTTGTGCATGCCTGTAATCCCAGCTGCTTGGGAGGCTGAGGCAGGAGAATCACTTGAACCCGGGAGGTAGAGGTTGCAGTGAGCCGAAATGGTGCTACTGCACTCCAGCCTGGGTGACAGAGTGACACTCCATCTCAAAAAAGAAAAGAAAGGACAAAAGACAGCAGGGTTAAGGTGTCAGTGGTAATTGGTAATGCATTGTTTTTGTTGTTGTTGTCTGTTTGTTTTTAAGATGGGATAAAATAAAGTGATGGAAGAGAGTCAAAATAATGAAGAGAGGTAAACAAAGGAATAAGAAAAGGGACCACCTCTTATTCTGGAACTGCAGGGAGGAAAGAGAGAAAGACAAGGCAAATACAAAGCAGTTATGAATGAAACAAAAGTTGAAGTATTAGACCTTCTCAATTTTGCAAGAGGCAAGGTCATTCTTTTTTTTTTTTTTTTTTTTTGAGACAGAGTCTCACTCTATCACACAGGCTGGAGTGCAGTGGCACGATCTCGGCTCACCGCAGCCTCCACCTCCCAGGTTCAACCGATTCTCCTGCCTCAGCCTCCTGAGTAGCTGGGATTACAAGGCACCCGCCATCACACCTGGCTACTATTTATATGTTTAGTAGAGACAGGGTTTTACCACGTTGGCCAGGCTGGTCTCGAACTCCTGATCTTGTGATCCACCCACCTTGGCCTCCCAAAGTGCTGGGATGACAGGCATGAGCCACTGCACCCAGCAAGGTAACTCTTAAGAGGTCACAAGAGGGAGATGAATTTGGGGCCCTGTGGAATGGAAAAGACAGGAAACAGCTGCTGTGGAATGTTTGCTAGGAACACGCCAGGCGAAGAGGAATGAGAGCTTAGGTGAAGTTCCAGGATATGAAGTTTTAGTGGGTCAAGCCAGCCTTGTCCTCTGGCTTCATCTGCAATCCCCTCCAGTCCTAGAAGAAAGGAGACTGGCCTGAGGTGAAAGTCAAGGTGTTTAAAGCTTAAGTGCAAGGGAAGACAGACCTAAAGTAATGCACCAGAAAGTTCGTCTCAATTAAGCATATGGGAGTTAAATAGGCTGAGGAAATGGAGGAGGCTGAGTCAATTGGGATGGAGACAGCAGATTTACTGGATGGGGACAGCAGGTAGGGGAGGTGATGGGCAAAGAGGCCATAGTCATAGGAATAAAAGGAAGAGAGCACAGATGAGGAACAGTCTCTGTAACAGCTTAAGCAGTGGCTGTGAGACTGGGAGAACTATTAAGAAGAGGAGAAGGCCGGGCGCGGTGGCTCAAGCCTGTAATCCCAGCACTTTGGGAGGCCGAGGCAGGTGGATCACGAGGTCAAGATTGACGATCGAGACCATCCTGGTCAACATGGTGAAACCCCGTCTCTACTAAAAATACAAAAAAAAAAAAAAAAAGAGAAGAGGCCGGTTCATTTACTCCTAATGGCGGGAGTCCTGCATAGCAAGAAAGTCCTGGATATCTAGGGAGAAAGTGGGAGCCCTTCAAAAAACAAAAAGGGAAATTTAGGGGAACTAAAGTCATTTTTTTTCCTGCAGTCCGACCCCAGCCCTAGTCTCCAGAGAGAGACCCCTTAGAAGTCAATAAGAAGTTGGTATCATTAGATAAGTAAGAGATCAGAGACAGGTCAGCAAGGGTGGGAAAAAAAGAAAGGCAAGGCTGGGGTCTGACTCAGGAGACCAACAGGCTGGAAGATGATTTCAGAGGGAGAAGGCCTGTAAATGTGAGCCCGCCCTTCTCAAGAATGCCTGCCAAGAAATTCTTACTTCCCAAGACTTAGGGGTTAGCTTCTCAATTTCCAACACACTCCTTCCCCGCAGCAACTTGATCCTATAAGCCTGTAAGTGCTAAGATGGCACTGGTAGAGAGAAGGAATTAATGGGTGGGAAACTTTAAAAAGAACCTTAACAGTCCTAGTGCTCCACCCTGGCCTCAAAGTCCTGAAGCCTGATCTGAAAGAGCTGGTGACAGATTTATCATTCATTTGGGGCAGGAGCTAGAGAAAGGGGAGAGATCACTAAAATGCTAGCTCTGGGCGTCAATTCCTGTTACCACCATCCTCTGCACAAACCTGCTCTACCTCTCAATGCCAGAACTTACAGCCATAGACGTGAGAGCTCCAGCCCCTCAGTCTGAGCCATCCACTTTTCCTTTGGTTAAGTACAGGAGAGCTGTCATACACATGTTCTCAGCAAACATAATAAAGGAGGTCCAGTCCCATTCCTGTCCCAAAGGCTGTTATCAGCTAAGGTCCCCACCCCATGACAGAACTTTAATTCATGCTGCATACCAGTTCAACAGTGTCAGGCCCCCAGCTGCATGCAGGCTCCCCGGGATCACACCCTATTCCAGCGCCTCAGTAAGCAAGACTATGCTGTCTTTGAGGGAGAACCAGGAAGTTAGTGTGGGTGCTACATATGGCACATCCTCGGCATCTGTGATATGGAAGTTGCCTCCGCTTCCTGATTCTGGTTATCATCATCAGATAAGTCAGGCCAATCCTGAGATGACTCTGCCTGATCCGATCCACCTCTTCAGCTGAATGCTCTGGTCTGGCTGGAGAAATACATGCTCTAGGCGGCTGTGGGGAAAATAGGACGGGGAAAGAGGACTGGGGAAGATTTTCAGGAAGGCTTATAGGACCAATGGCCCCAGGAAGGGACAGAAACAAAGAGAAAGGAGTAAAGACTGGCATTAGCTAAAAAAGAGTGGTCAACTGAAGGGGTTATGAGAGATGAGGTCACATGTGATGTCCCCGCCTCTCCTCAACCCTCAGTGTGAGGGCTTCTCTCCAGAGCCTGGAAAAAAGGAGGAAGCGCCTTACCAGGTATCACTATTGGGTTCCCTCACCTCTGCCCTGCACTCACCCCCTTTTCTCTCACTTCCTGGCTTCCCGTGTTACAATCTATCTACCCTAAGAGTAGAGCAGCTACTGTCCTGGGGGGGGGGGTGTCCGCCCACCTGCAGCTGCTATCCTCAGGCAGAGACACTAGTGCCAGGGAAGAGGTGGCCGTGCGGGACTGGGGCTCGCCACCACCGCAGAGCTGCCGGAGCTGACGTCGATATTTGTCCCCCGTGAGCAAGTAGAGCACAGGATCCAGGCAGCTGTTGGCGCTGGCCAGTGGCCGAGTCACTTTATAGACCACGTTGACAATGTTCAGCACTCGGCAGTCAGCTTCCAACAGCCTTGCGAGGTAGTAAATGGTTCGGGTGATGTGGAAAGGCACAAAGCAGACAGCGAAGACAGTCAGCACCACAGCGATGGTGCGGAGAGAGCGGAGACGAGAAGACGACTGGGCAGCACCTGGCAATGGCCGACACAGGCGCCGGGCCATGAGCCCATAGCAGACAAGAGTGACCAGGCAGGGCACGCCAAAGAGCAGCCCCATGACTGCCGAGCTGAAGTGTACATAGTGGTCAAACTCTTCAGGCCGAGTGGTGTCATGGCACAGGACAGTGGCCCCTTTGGTGCTGGTTGTGACGAAGAACAGGTTGGGCACGAGGCAGCCGGCTACAACCAACCAAACTGCCAGGCAGAGAAGGCCTGCAAGGCGAGGGCGGCCCCAGCGTAGTGCCCGCAGTGGATGGCAGATGCCCAGGTAGCGGTGCACGCTGATGCAGGTGAGGAAAAGGACGCTGCAGTAGAGGTTCCAATAGAAAAGAAAGCGGACAAACTTGCAGATCCCGGTGCCAAAGGGCCAGTGGTTGCGGGCTGCATAATAATAGATGAGAGTGGGCAGCGACAGCACATACAAGGTGTCTGACAATGCCAGGTGGAACATGTAGGTAGCCGTTGCATCCCAGGGGCGGAGACGGAAGATGAAGAGCCAGAGGGTTGGGGTGTTGAGGCCCAAGCCTACCGCAAAGACAACTGCATAGCTCACAGGCAGCAGGATGAACTTGAAATCCTCATCAAACCAGCAATCCAGCTCCACCTCACTGCTGCCAAGACCTGGGCTGAGGCCTAGGGATCTCAGCAACGAGGACTCTGTACTGGCCATGGCCCCCCTGGAGGTGGAAAGAGCAGAAGTGAGGGTGGCAGGATTTCTCTGCCCACCCCCATCCCTGAGCTGGGGCAAAAAAAGCAGACAGCAGGAAGAGCAGTGGTTGAAGCACTAGAGAGAGCTGACAGGAGTGCATCTGGGTATACTCAGGCTAGCCTGGCCCCTACCCGAGCTCCCTTGGTCCAGCTCGGGGAGTGGTGGGCAGCAGGCAGTGCTGGGGCTCAGGCAGGCAGCCCGTGGGTTTGGGTTGTTCTTACTCTGCAGCTCACTCTGTCCCTAAGAGACTGGCTGGCGAAAGAGGGCAGAGGCCTCCCAGCACTATCCAAAGTAGGAAGATACCCAGACATCAAGTGTCCCCTGATTTGTCATCACAGCTGTGTGGGCAGCGACAGCACATACAAGGTGTCTGACCTTGTGTCCTGGCCACAGTATCTCCAGATGACATTTACCTATGACACCTTCCCCACCGCCTGCCTATAGCCCAGGAGCCCCATTGCCACCCTTGCCCAAGAACCTTGGCACGTCTCCTACCTGGTCCCCTTGAAGCTGAGCCCAGCTGACTCTGTCACCTTTCCCCTTGGCAGCCAGAGAGCATATCCAAGGGGGTGGAGTTGGAGGTGGGACCTGTCCCTCCTCCCATCTGGGAGACTGAAAGAGTTAGAAAGGCCCTTTACGATGATCTAGTCCAACCCACTCATTGTACAGGTTGGGAAAATGGGGCCCAGCAAGATTACTATTTAACAGCTTTGAAATGACTGCAAGAGGGAGCAAACAAGGAAACATCCAAGTTTACCAGTCAAGAGCTAGGCCCCTGGAGACAGATTACAGGGGGATCATAGAAGTTTGTGTAACTGAGCAGAAACATGGGAAATGAATTTTCACTTGGGCAAGGGTAAGATAATGCATTGAAAGATTTTAGAAAATCTAAACTACCTATATTTAATATAAATCTCAACCCCGTATGCATATAATTACAACAAATGCTTATATAGTACTTACTATGTGACAGACATTTTTCTAAGTGTTTTATACTTATTAATGACCCCAGAGGCTCTCTATGAACTAGGTACTATTATTTTCTCTGCTTTGCTGATGAAAACATGAAGGCACAGAGAGTTTAGGTGTCTTGCTAGTTAGTGGTAAAGTCAAGATTTGAACCCAGGCAGGGCTGCCTTTGGACCAAGCTCTAGCATCCATGACTTACTTGCTATGTTTAAATTGCCTCTCGGCTGCGCACGGTGGCTCACGCCTGTAATCCTAGCACTTTGGGAGGCCGAGGTGGGTGGATCACCTGAGGTCAGGAGTTCAAGACCAGCCTGGCCATCATGGTGAAACCCCATCTTTATATAAGAAAAAATAAATAAATAAATAAATAATAAATAAATTGCCTCTCTAAGCCACTGGCTATGATCCAGGAAAGAATCAACAAATATTTATGAGACACAGAGGCAGGCAGATCTCTTGAGCTCAAGAGTTCAAGACAAGCCTGGACAACATGGCAAAACTCTGTCTCTACAAAAAAAATACAAAAAATTAGTTGGGCGTGGTGGCATGCATCTGAAGTCCCAGCTACCTGGGGCACTGAGGCAGGAGGATTGCTTGAACCTGGGACGTTGAGGCTGTAGTGAGCTGTGATCGTGCCACTACACTTCGATCTGGGTGACAAAGTGAGACCCTGTCTCAAACATAAATAAATAATTTTTTTAAAAACCACACATGTTTACTGAGAGCCTACTTTTGCCTGGTCCAGTTCTAGGTACTGGTAGTTCCTTAGGAGTGCACAAAACAGATAAAAACTCCCACCCTAATGGTGCTTACATACTACTGGGGGCTAATAAAATTAATAAGTAAAATATATAGATTATGATCATCATTATGAAGAAAAGTTAAAGAGGGAAGGAAAAGAGTAATAGAAAGGGTTGTGGTTTTAAATATTAGGAGTGAAACCAGGCACAGTGGGTCACATCTGTAATCCCAGTGCTTTGGGAGTCTGAAATAGGAGGATCACTTGAACCCAGCAGTTGGAGGTTGCAGAGAGCTATGATCACACCTCTGCACTCCAGCTTGAATGACAAAGCAAGAGTCTGTCAATAAATAAATACATAAATAAGTATTAAGGGTGACTTTTGAATAGAGGCCAGGTGTTGTGAGAAGGGGAAAAATAAGCAATGAGGTCAGAGAGTTTGGCAGGGACCAGATCACGAAGGCCCTTGAAGGCCGTTGTAAAGGACTCTTTGGCTTTTCCTTTCAGTGAATGGGAAGGCACTCAGGGTTTAGAGAAGAGAGATGTCATCTGACTTACAGTTTAGAAGGCTCACTGGCCAGCTCTATGTTGAGAATAGACTGCAGGGCTGCAGGTACAGGGGGAAGACCAGTCAAGAGGCTATTGCTGATAGAGATGATGGTGACGGAGATGATGAGAAGTGGTAAATTCTGGATAGATTTTTTAAGTAGGGACAGTAAGATTTACTGATGTGGGATGTAAGAGAAAGAAGAGGCAAAAAGATGTCTGGCCAGAGCAACTGGAAAAATAGAGTTACTGTTGACAAAGATCGGAGTGGGTTTAAGGGAAAGATTGGGAGTTCACTTTTTAGCCTGCACATTTTGAGATGCCTATTATACATGTAAGAGGGGATGGCCAGGAGACAGTTCATGCCTCCCTAAGGATACTAGCCAATACATTTCCCATACAGACTCCACCCCTTTCCATACAGTACCCCTCGTCTCTCTTGACCACTCCCAGAGACCTTGATTTGAATATAACAGAGAAGGTTCAGAGAGCAAGCGTGGATGTTTGAGAGTCTGGTGTAGGGGACTGTCAGCAGCTCAGGATCTGGGGCTCCTGAAGCCAACTAAGCCTCTCTAAGAATGGATGTCTTAGGCACCAGAGACAAACCCAGTCTGGAGGACTCTGAGGATGAGGTAAGCAGTGCCTTTGGGGAGAGATAAGCAGGCTGGAGCAGAATCCGCTCTGTATGGAGCTAAGAAGCAATGGGGACTCTGAACTTACTTTATCCTCAAGTCCAGAGAATGTCACCCAGCTGGATCCTGGGAATGAGAAGAGGAGGCAGACCTGGAAAGGAAGCTCTAGAATCTATCTACATCTCACAGAAAGGCCAGAAACCTGGATGGGGAAACTGAAGATCCTTGCCCTGTGGCAGAGTAAGGGGTGGAATAAAAGGTAGCAGTGGAGGACACAGTCATAACCTGAGTCCTGGACAGCTAACTACTGTGACATTGCATAAGAGACCCAGGTTTTTGAAGCCAGATGGACTTGTGTTTAAATCCTTGCTGTCCCACTTATTAGTTATGTGAGCCTGGGTGCCTCTTTGCAACTGCCATTCTTCACCAGTGACATGGGAATAATAATACCAATCCTGTTAGGGTTTCCTGAATATTGAATTGCTTAACAGGTATGGAAGCACTTTGTAAACCATACAATGCCACAAGTTTATAAGGTGTATGTTATTACTGCTTTGCTCCCGGGGATGAACCTGGCCTCTGCAGAGGTGGACAAAAGAAAGCTACGCTAGAGAAACCCCAGCCGGAGCCAGCTCCCTGCTCCTACTGCTTCAGGCTGGTTTTGCTCTGCTACATTTCCCCTGACTGAGCTCTGCTACGTTTCTACAAGTCCCGACACAGGCAGCTGCTGCTGCTGCCACCACTGCCGCCCAGTGGCTATTGCAGGAAAACACCTTTCCCAACCTTCCCCAACTGGCAGCCCTGCCTGGCTTTTACTATCCTCACGGGGGCCAAGAGAAATGGAATGCAGAGGATCAGCCTCACTCTCTTCTGTGAAACTCTTCTTCACTTTGATTTCTGTGACTTGACTTTACGCCGATTCTCTTCCTCTGGATGTTCCTTCCGACCCCTTCCCTGGCTCTTTTTTTGCCCTACTTCCCCTACATGTGAGCCTTCCCCCAAAGATTCTCTCCTCTCCTCTCCTCTCTCTCCCTCTCCATCATCTCTCTCCCCACTACCCCCACCCTCTCTTCCCCTTCTCTCTTTTAACATCCATTCTCATGATTTCAACTATGACTCAGAAGTTATCAAAAATTCTAATGGTCAAGAGACTCCAGCATACAGATCTCTCTCTAATCAAAATGCATCTCTCCCTCTCTCACACTTATCACATTTGATTTATACAGCAATGGCACGAGACCACAGGCAGCCTAGAATTATACTCATTTGTGTGTTTGGCCATCTCCTCCTTATCCACCCCCATACCAGAACCAGAGCTCCTTGAGAACATGTACTTTATTTTACCTCTGTCTTTCCTATAGCCTTCCAGGTAAAGTTATTATAACACATGTTTGAAATAATTTCTTTCAAACTATATTCTCTGCTGTCCCCCCAAAAGTGCCTTCCAATTCAGAGTTAAGAAAACGGGTACCTTGTACATAGTTAGTGTTCAATAAATAGTTGTTAAATGAATGAATGACTTATTTATAATTTATTGAATTGAATGATTCTCACATCTATAATCTAAGCCCTACATATGTTGTTTGCTATAGGACCCACCCACTCGAGTATCTCATTGACATATGGAATTTAGTATGCAGCAAAAGTTTACTATTTTTCCCCTGACAGAGATAAATAAGATTTATGAATACCATTATTGCTGACACCCTTCCATTGCTCTACTCCTCCCGTTTGTCCCAGTCCTCTCCCTCCTGGCCCCTCACATCTAATATTCATAATTGTGTTGATGACAGTTTCTCTGGAAGGTTTTCTATTTCCTTGGGGCTTTAAGAAGGAAAGGAAGAAGAGGCATGATTTCTAATCTCTTTCTCTGAGTTAGGAGGAAAGGAAGGAAGGAAGGAAGAGAAAGGAGGGAGGGAGGGATGGAGGGAGAAAGGGAGAAAAGAAGGGATAAAGATAAGAAGGGAGGGGAAAGGAAATGAGGGAGGGAAGGCAAGTGATATAGTGAAAAAAATGCAGATTTGGAGTCAGATAGACCTAGGGTTGAACTCTGGCTCCATCACCTACCAGCTGTGACTATGGGTAAGTCTTTCTGAACCTTCATTTCCTCATACGTAGAATGAGGATGCTAGCACCTAGCTTGTTGTGAGAAAACAATGAAGCAATAGATGTAAGGAACCCAGCAGAGTGCCCTCGTTGTTATTGGGAATTGAAATATAGGTGTATTTGGAAGGTGTGAGGTCCACTGCAA